TTAAATGCTTAGACCAACAAACTCACTGAAAGACTAAAGCTCTTTTTGTACCAGTTGCCACTTTAGCTATAACGGATACATTTGAAGCATTGAGGTGTGTGTTAGTTTGATAAGCTGGCAGGTGTGGATATACTTTTAATATCTGTTTAAGAAAAGAATAGAGGAAGTAAGAAAATGAAAAAAAGGATAGAAAGGTTACAATTATACCTTAAATATTAGTTTATATCATGCACCTATATCATGTAATATGAAAAGCACTCGAGGTGTTATGAAAAGCCTTAATAGTAGGTCAATGTCCTGTAGAAGTTTGTGAGTCGAAAAACTAGGACACAGAAGCAAAAATACAAGACAACTAAAATGCGTAAATATAATAGGTACAAATATAAAAGTTTTCAAATTTCAGAAGCTGTATAGAAAACATCTAGCTGGATGGTGCATCAGAAAGACCCCCTCTTTAACCTTGTACTAAACTAAAATCCAAGTGGATTGAAGATCTAAATATTAAAATAAAAACACTAAACTTATCAGAAGATAAGTTAGGCAGAATTCTTGAAGTTATTGGCATACGAAAATACTTTATGAACAAATCCTCAGTAGCATGGGAACTAGCAGAAAGAATCAACAATTGGGATCTCATTTCTTTCAAAATATTCTGCACTGCAAAAGAAACCACCAAGAGAGCAGAGACAACCTATATTGTGGGAAAAAATTTTACCAGCTGCTCCTCAGACAAAGGTCTACTATCTAGAATATATATAGAACTCAAAAACATCAAGCCCCCCAAACATAAAGACCCAATTCAAAAATGGACATCTGAAATGAACAGACATTTGTCATACAAAGAAGTAAAAGCAGGGCCAGGGATTTAGCCCAGTGGTTCCGCTGCCTGCTTCGCAGGCGCAAGGACCCAATTTCAATCCCCAGTACCAAAAAAAACAACAATGACAAAAAAAGAAGTAAAAGCAGCAAATCAACATATGAAAAATGTTCACATCACTGGTCATTCAAAAGATGCAGATGAAAACAACACTGAGAATCCACCTCACCCCACAAAGAATGGCTGCTATCAAGAAATCAACCAATAACAAATGTTGGTGAGGTTGTGGGGAGAAAAGAACCCTTCTCTATTGTTGGAAGGAGTGCAGACTGGTGCAGCCACTATGGAAATCAATATGGAGATACCTCAAAGAACTAGGACTAGAGGTTCCATTTGACCCAGCCATCCCTCTACTGGGCATCTTTCCTAAAGAATTGAAAGAATCATACCACAGTGATTTATGCACACACATGTTTAAAGCACCACAGTTTGTAATAGCTAAAATTTGGAAACAGCCCAATTGTCCATCAGTTGGAGACTGGATAAAGAAGATGTGGTTTTCTATAAAATGGAGTACTACTCAGCTATAAAGAATGAAAAACTAGAGTCATTCATAGGAAAATGGATGCATATTGAAGCCATACTCTTAAGTGAAATAAATAAGGCACACATGTGTAAATATTGAATAGTTTCTCTGTTGTGAAAACTAAAAGTGTAAATAAGGTCCAACTTGTATAATTGACAGTGTGACATTTATAGCTAAGTGGATGCATATTGAGGCCACACTCTTAAGTGAAATTAATAAGACACAAGTGTAAGTACAGAATAGTTTTTCTGGTATAAACACTGAAAATATAAATAGGATCAAAATGTATAATTGATATTTTGTAATAGGAAGAAAAAGGTGTAAAACAGTAGGGGAAGTGGGAGGGGCAGCAAAAAGGTAAGAAGGCAAAAGAAAAAATGTGAGAAAAGGAAAAACATGGAGATAGTATCTTTGTAAACAGGGACGGGTGGAGGGGGTGGAGGGAGGGCTGGGAAATGGGTAAAAAATAAGAACCAAGATACTACATGTAAAGGTCCAAGATCTCAGTGATGAATGCAACTGTATTGTACACCTAAAATGTACCAATGAACTTAAAAAATAATTTTCAAGCAAGTATTTGTTGAGGTTCTGGCAAGAAGTTTCCTGTTGCCCATATATAACCCTTCATGTTTTCCTCTTTCCCTCCTTTCAGTGACCTACTCTTGCACCCCCTTGGGGTGTGGGAGTAGCCTGCACATTCTCTTAGTAACCTCCCTTTGCAATGCAGTTGGGCCAGTGCACGTGCTGAGCGCGTAGACTATACAGGAATCCGCATGGTCCCTCTCAGCTTCTTCAGGGCCTAGCACAGAGCTCGGCATTAATCAGGGATTTAAAAATACTTAGGCAAACGTGAATGAGCAGCACCAAAGCCTTTCCTGGAATGCTGAGCATATTATAGCTACATGGTTTTCAGCGCAGGACGAAGGAGAACGGACCTCCTCTCACTTCAGTGCTCCGCATTTCATCTGAGCTGAGAGGCTGGACAGCTTGTGTTACCACACTGAGTGGAGATCAGCACTGAAAATAAAACAGCACCTTCTGCTCCCCCAGGCAGGTCCTTCTTCAAAAGGGATGACAACAAATAATCCTATTTCTTTCAGTGAGTTCTAGGCCCAGATATTAGTAAAATGCTGCTGCTTTTACCTTCTCTTCTGCAAATGCTATTCTCCCTCCCAACTTTATTGATATTTTCTGTATGTACAAGAAAAGGAGACTTCACTAGATTGCTTTTATTACTTTACTAGATATGCCAAGGAATATCTGATTTCTTAACTGGACTCATATGTTCACTGCTGGTGCAAATAGATACTTAAGAAAGGAAATCAAAATTTTAAATATCAATTATTTAAAAATTAGAAAAAATGACAATATGGTTCATAAAAGTATGCAATGTAAATGTACTCATTTTAAATTTTAGTATTATATAACTTATTTTTTTATAAATAAGTAAGCTAAGATTCAAACAATTTAGTGTTATATAACTTATTTATTTATAAAGAAGTAAGCTAAGATTCAAACAAACTGGGTATGGTCCTGTGTACCTGTGACATCAGTACTGTGGAGGTGATGTAACTCAGTGCAAAGAAACTGAGTTCCATTCATAGCAAGAAAGAAGAAATGAAAGAAAGAAAGAAAGAAAACTACAAAGGAAAAAGCTTAGCAAAGCTTCAAATTTAATATGTTATAAAACTGAATTTAAAATTAGGGACAATAAAGGTTAAACATTTCTGTTAAAAATAATAAAAAGCACCTAACAAACTAGATTTTAAAAATTCTAGAAATTAAACTTACAATATTTGTCATCCAATGTGTGAGCTATCTCTGCATAAAAGTGAAATTAAATAAGACTAGGGAGGGCAGGGACAAGGGGAAAAAATGAGAACCAAGACCTGTCGTGTGAAGGTACAGGATCCCATTAATGAATGTAACTGTATTGTAGACCTAGATTGTACCAATAAACTCAATAAATAGAAGAAATTAAATAAGAATTGTATTTATAGAAAATTACAATTTTGAATTACCAAATTTGAATTACAAAAGATAAGTGGTTTTCTAACATAAATTATTGAAATTGGCCCAGTTACACACAAATAAATATCAAGTGCATTATAAAAAGAAGAAAAACAAGGCTTGATAAGGAGACTGATGTCTATGAACAGCATATTGTAGAGTTGACATAAAGAGGGAGGGATTAATTCAGAATGACAGTGCCAAGCTTGGTGTATAACACATGACAGGGATGAAGAGCACCTATAGAGGGCTCTTTCAGAATCTATATTTCCTATTGAGAATGACTAGGAATTATGGTTGAGACAATTTGGAAGAAAAATACATAAAAACTTGCCTTTTCCTATCGTTACTTACAACATTGGCATTTATGGCCACATCCTTAAAAAGAAGAATTTTGATAGTCAGATAACCCAGTTACTCTTAACTGCTATACTGGTAACAGGATTTTTATGACTGAGTTGGACATTTAATTTTTAAATAGATACCCTTCCATAACAAATCTATCTATCTATCTATCTTTCTATCTATCTATCCATTTCTTTTTCACACAGCAGTAATTTCTCTGTGTGTTTTTATTATCTCCATACTGGATAGGTAAAATGAAGGTAAACACTGGCTGCTCAATAATAATTTTACTTCGCACTGATGTGTCGGAGCCAGTGGTATCCTGGAAGAGAATCCTGCAACGAGGATGCAGGAGGTGGTCACTCTAACCTTGCTCTGTCACTGAGCTTTTATCATATTCCTGTCTCTCTAGAGTTGAGATTCCTCTAAAGAAAGAAAAATGAGTGTATGGAAAGCTCCAAAAACTGAATAAAACAGCTGCAGCTCCCTCCTTCAATTCTGAGTCATGGCTTTCTTGATAATTTTCCACAGCTTTTAAATGTCACTGTCATTTTACTTCGGCTAATTTAACTAAATATTTATATAATGAAAATCAAACATTACTCACACAAATAGAAAGAAAATAGAACATTTAACTGCTGTTGGTCTCCTACAAAGAAAATATAGTAAGATATTATTAAAAGTTCTTTTCTTCCCTCCTTTATGTACTTGTCTTTTATCTTTTTATTATTTCCACTCATTCATCCTTCTCTCTTTCAAAATATTTGTTCGTATTAGTACCCGTCTGCAGTAACTAACGATGACATTCACTGTGGAGAGTAAGCACGTTTACATAACACGTCCTAAATTTTTTATCCATTTCTTCTTCCGTCCCTTCATCTCCCTCTATGTCTTGGTCACCTTCCCTTTTGCAAAAAGTCTATATATCTATTTCCCAGTACATATATTTTGTTTTGCTTTTTATTTATACTTTTGGCCTCTCGTATAAGGGAAACTATGTTATTTAAGCATGGGTTTCTTATTTATTTCACTTAACATTAAGGTCTCGAGGTGCATCCATGTTTGTACAAATGGCTCAAGTTTGTCTTTCTCTGTGGCACAGTAGTCCTCCATTGTATAAAAATTCTCCATTTTCCTTATCGATTCATCTGTCGATGGGCATGTAAGTCACTTCCGAGATTTAGCTATTATAAATTGTGATGCAATAAACTCCTACCTCTTTCTAGTGTAGATTTATTATTTTGCCTTGTAAGTAGTTCACACTGACATCAAGCATGTTATCAAGCGCACCTGAAATTAAATTTATATAGAAGTCAATGAGAAAGCAAAGCAACTTATGCTGGCCACTAACTCATCATGAAATACTATTTTACTTATGAAATGTTGCTATAGGATTTGTTCCTTGCGCATGATATGGAGTGAGCTTAAATTCACTGATGTACTTAGTACAGTGATGTACTTCTTAGCATCATTTATAACATGAAAAAACATGGCATATGTAATGTTGAGGCGCTATACAACCATCTAAAACACTTTTATCAAAATTTGTCTTGAAATTTGGAAAACTCCTCTTGATTTCTTGTTTAACAAAAGCATGTTGTAAGGAGTACATACAAATGGTAACATTTTAAAATGTGTAAACAAGTACACAGGTACATGGCTGAAAAGAGAAAGATCAAAATGTTGAAAGTGTGAATCTGTGGGTGAAGAATTACATGTTTTTAAATTTTGTTCTTTGTAAAATTATGGTATATTTGCACTTGGGAAAAGAACTGCTCAGTATAGATATGATTCACATATCTAGATAGTATTTATAGATCTTATATATGAAAACTTAAAATACAGACACTAAATGAAAATTGCAGAATTCTTCCAGAGAAGTGAGAAAGATCTTAGAAGAGAAAAGCTTTCACAGGAGAAACACTTGAGTTGTTACAATTCTTCCATGGGTTGGACTATCCCAAATGTTTCAGGGCATCCTGTCCTACCCAACACTCATCAAATGTCAGTGGTGTACTGTAGTTGTGGAGGTAAGTAAAGTATCTTTGATATTCCTAATGCCCTAGGGTGAAAAATCACAGCTGCAAGGTGGCTATATAAATGAAAGGTGATCAACTGGCCTTAGCAATGAATAGGCAACCTGCATTATATAAGAAGGGTACTAGAGATCATATACAACTCCCACCTAACTTTTTACAAGACTAACATCCTTGAGATAAAACATTGTTGCAAGTTTCTATGTGTGTACTAAATCTTGATTAGCTCTGAGCCTGAGGCTTTAGTCACATCCTGAAAATCCTTCTATGATCTGGTCACCCTGATTCACTTTCCTGGCACCATTTCACATTTTTGCATCTTTTTCGAAATTGAGCTAATAAAAGTTAGAGCTCTAAAATCCTAGTGTTAACCGATTTACAGATGTATTCCTACATGTATTCATAAGTTTTACTAAGAACTATGTATAGAGAAGTAGTGTAAGCGATTACTTCCACTCCATCAAGATCACAACCCAGGAACAGGTTTCAAATATATGTTTTATTAAAGGCTAACAGAGCATCTTGTGTGCCATGAGTGTCAGCATAGTTGGTAAAAGAATGTTTTATGAGCAGAGGTCAGAAACATAGAAAAATAAGACTCAAAGTTTAAGAAGAGAAAAAGGCCCAGGAAATAGAAAAATCATGATACACTCAAAGTAATTAATTCAGCATGAATAAAACTACACAACCTGGGGTTCCAAAGGCAATCCATCTTCTGTGTTTGCACTTCCCCTAATGTTTTTAAATTAGTCTCCTTGTTATATGCATCCTTAGAATTTCTATTTGTAGGGCCGGGGATTTAGCGCAGCAGTTTGGTGGCCTGCCTTGCAAGCACAAGGACCTGAGTTCAATCCCCGGTACCAAAAAAAAAAAAAGAATTTCTATTTGTACCAAGTAAAACTACCATGTTTTAAAATGCATTCCTTCATTGTGAAACTGTAAGAGCTGAGAAAGAAGGTATGGATATGTGTTAATGTCGATAATCTACTCAACATCCCATCAGGTATTAGACACCTTGTCTTGTGTTGTTTTATGATACCTCTCTGCATGCAGAATCTTTTAATAATGTTTCCTTGCTTCCGCTTTGTCTTAGTGTTCTTTATACAAATACTGATAGTGAAGAATTGTTAATGGAGGAAAGAAATGTGAAAACAGTGGTAAAGTGTCCATGTGGGCTCTCTGTGGACAGGAGTCCTGGATGCTTGTGCACACTCAGGACTTCTGCTCTTCCTGATCCACAAGGATGTGATAGGAAGCCCCAGAGCAGCAAGCCGTGCTCAATGGCTCTCTACCTTATTTCCCCCACAAAAAAAGCTCATTTCATGGAGTTATTTTGCTCTATTTGCTTATATTTTAAATGTTGCCATGAAAATCTTTACTTGGTATTCCAGATGAAATGCTTTGTCAAATCAAAATTATTACCTGTGCAGTCATAACACATTTTTACCAAGGAAATGTATTATTTTTCTTTATTAAGTAAAATGGAAGTAAACTTACTGAATAAGTTAAATGTTATTTATAATTGTTTTAATATATATTTTTCAATGAAAGACAATATTATAAGGGCATAATTTTTTTTTTTTTTTTTGAGACAGGGTCTCACTATGTAGTTGAGACTGACCTGGAACTCACTATGTAGCCCAGGCTGGTTTTGAACTCACGGCAGTCCTCCTGCCTCAGCCTCCTGAGTGCTGGGATTATAGGCATGCACCACCATGCCCAGCTAGGACATAATTTTTTAAAATAAGATTCTTTTTCTATCATTAAATCTACTTTTTCAGATATTAAGGTACATTTTTAACAACTCCTTAAAATAAAAATCTTTATTTTTACAAAATGTTTTTGATGTATCTGTGATTATTATGAGGGATGTATGTTTTTGAGATAATATAATCAAAGACGTTATACACAAATGTTCACTGAAATTTGCGATTCAATGAAGAATAAATTGAGATATCTTTGCATTATCTAAAAGGAGCTTAGCATGTAATTCTGGAGAACTTGTAAGACACCAGAATAACTTAGAGAGTCAAAAAATAAGCAACATGCTTATGTAAACTGCTTACATTGTTCTTGATTTTTTTCTATTTTAATACAAATTATAGAAAGCTATTACAAAAAGGCAAGAAGTAGTACATATCTCTTCTTCTATTGTGTCCTGTCAATTGTGGATCAACTTGATGTTAGCCAAAACATTGCATCAAAATTTCTTGACATTCAATACATGACGTAGAAAACAAAATAAGGAGAGATTATGTACATATAGGTAAATATATTTTAAAATAAGTAAATATACTATTTTTTCTATTGCAATTCTACACTCCTTTAGATCACATCAAAGACAAGGATGATCAACCATTTCTTCCCAAAGAATTTCCTGTTTGGTTTTTGAAACGCAAATGAATCTTATAGAGACTTGATATTCATTCTGCATTTGTCTTTGTATTGTGGTTAGAGAGCACCCTCTACTTTCTCCTGATTAAATAGCATCCCTAAATTGGAAGAAAAGAGATGGCTGATTCTAAGAGGATGTTTTGCTCAGAAAATCAGAAGGGTTATGTCTACAAGGTTCATTAACTCTTGCCCTCTCTTGCCAGTAACCCATGTTCAGGAGGCCACCAGTGTGACACCCTCAAAAGAACTCCCCGAAGGAGGCAAAGTCTGGAAGGGAATACCTGCTCTGAAGTTTCCTACTTTCCCTGAACTGAATCTGCAGAGCCTCCCCAGGAGGGGAGAATACAGCTTTGAAAAATAACACCTTTGTTATTCCAAGTGTTAGAGATGAAGCCGAGTTTTCAGATGGCCTCAAGGTTTGTGCATCCTTCACCAAACACATATGGGAACTGGACTCTTTGAACTGCTTTGAAAATCTGTTCCTAAGCATTGCTGTGAGTCTGTCAGGCAGCCATTGCTAACTTCTGCCTGCCTGCAATTTTTATGGTTGTGTGATGACAAGGGATAAAATAGCTTCATTTTAGAAGTAAACGGTACATGTGCCAGTGGAGAAAAACTCACCCTGTATGCAAGATTTAATCTTTACTGTTATGCTAATGTTGAATGGTAGTCTTTTTAAAAGACTAGTTTATATAATAAAATTATAAACAAATTATACAACATATAGATAACATTAATTCATTAATTTATTCTAAGAATTTGATACTTTACAATTTCAGTTATTTTCTTTTAAACAATAAAATCTGCAAAGATGAATACCATTATTTTTAGATCATCTATTGGCATTATAGTGTTTAGAGCTTTGGTGAGTTAAAATGTATTGATTCTTCAAACCACAATCAGAAACATCTGCTACAGTAAGTCAGTGTCATGCTGTTTCACATGGTGGTTCCATTTAAAAGTATATTTAATATACTTATATATGTACATAAAATATATTTATTTTAAATATATATTAAATATATTTATATTTACTAACCCAATTTTCACTTGCCTACCTTAAAGACAAGCACTTAATTAAAATCACTATAAAGAGACAATATTATTCAAGTCGGATTATGGCCACAGAATTTACAGGGCACTTGTGCATACTACATACACAGCATGGAACCAGTTAGGGTTCTTTTTTTTTATTTCAAAATATTTTGAATTTTCATATAAAAATCAAGCCATTACTACATACTTAAAGGGCTGTGTAAACTTTGGCTGTATTTCTTTTAATTGACAAATCAAAGTTATATTATTCTTTATCAGAAAACCAATATGACTGACAGGATAAAACTACATATCCTTGGTGTAGTTCATGTGATTTTGCAAACACTTAATACTGCACATGTATGTACAATAAATGTTTGTGTCTGTGACAGAGAAAATAAAACAAAAACCTACCACTTAGGTTAATCTCATATTAAGTAAGTTTTAACACTGAAGTTCCCATGGAAACTTTAAAAAGGCTGTGTTGTTTATATGCAAGTTTTTATGGTAGGAGTTTAACAATACCAACAGAGGTACTTTAGAATATATACGCAATAAGAACACATACTTTAGCCACAGCGGGCTTCTTCCTGGAGCACGGCAAGGAAAACTGTGTGACCCTCTACCCTATCTCAGCAGGCAGGTGCCAGCAGGACCTCGCAAACTCAGTGATTTCCTACCTAGACCTATTGAACTTATTTTTTTTAAATAGATGTACATACAAAGAGACCAAGAATATGAGTTTCCTTGCAGCTCCCACCCCCCGGGTGCACTGAGTGACTATAAAATTCTGGCATGTGCAATATTTTTTATTCTATCCTTCCT